TACCATTATTCCGCTTTTTTTCTAAGCGTGAACAGACGTAGTCTGTATACCCGCAATGATTAAGTTGACACTATACACCTAATGTGATGGTCATATGTAAGGCACTGAGTAAAAAACCGCAGCTAACAGTGCGTCCTTAAACTACATTCTGAAAGTAGCAATAAACGTATTAACGGTAGATAAACATCTAAAGCCAACTCTATACGTGTGCATGAGAGTATGGATATATGACGCTATTTCGGCATTAAACCGGAGGCGCCGATTTCGATGATTTTTCGCTGTGTCATTGCAGCCAAGCTGCCATTTCCGCATCGTGCACACGAACACGGAATTGACAAGTCCGTCAGGGTTGTATACTTAAAATATCTGGAACTACTAAGTAAATGATGGCAAATTGTCGCCACGAATGGCTATAGATCACTTGTGGAGTGGCCAGCCGGCACGTAACGGTACCAAAAAAGACGAAGTGGATATTTAATGATATCATTCGTGTGGCTGCCGGCACGGGCTTGAGTACTCTGTAATTTGAAATCAATGTAAAGAAATTAATGCATTTAAGATAGATAATTCGCGCGGTAATTTCACGAACTAATGGTCGTATTTGTATCCGCTAAATGACAACAGATATGATTACACAAATACCCATACATACGAATGTAACACCAACAAAACATAGTGCTGTTGATCAGAATATAAATAATGGTTTACTAACAGTGCATTAAGCCAAAGAAATGTGTGAGATAAATCCAATATTTTCCATATCCTCAGTTACGTCTGCTCAAAAATAGCGGCAAACATCTAAGAATTTTGATCCTCGTTACAGAACTGCTCATTCAATCAAGTCGAACGACCATATCGAACAGAACACTGTCAATACGTCTATCGGAGAGTCCTTCTACATACGGTGAGCTGCCTCCAAACGTATGACGGCATACGCCTATACGTAAACACTATTACTCTGTTTCGCCTCACGCTGTATAAAAACTATCTTAGCCCAACGTGCATCATAATATGTCTGCGTGATGTCGAAGACTAAACAAACTGAGGATGCCTATCCGTACCCGAACAATTTCATGTTTACTTAACGAGTTCGGAAGCTCATTTAAATGGGCAATACTTCTTTTGTGCAGCATAAATTTAATATACCAAATTAAGATTAATACACACATCCTACCCATGAAGAAGAAACAAACAATATGCAGTGTGCAAAGTCAGATGTTTTCTATAATCCGACGACTTAATTAGCTCACCCGTCAAATCTGTAGTACTTCATGCACGCACCGAAAGCTAGCCTTCTCTGCACGAGCATCGCATTTGGAGCTGTTCTGTGATAGTTTCAACCTACAACATTGCCGAATACTGCCAGCTGCATGTTGCTTACTGTCAATGTGATTCCTTCAACTTCTATTTTTAGCTGGTACCGCAGAAAAAGCTTCTTCTCAGCATAGAGTGTATCATGGACCGGAGTTGTCGGCAGGCCAAATTTCGCGACGCGCAACTTGATTTAGCTAGACCTGTCTTCTACCTAATCAGCTTTCCCTGGTTATAATATAAAATTATAATGGCTAATATAATAGTCAAAGCCCTTTACCGTGTCGTGCCCGTATAAGGGACCGCGCTATCGTTTGACTCTCGGCAAGGCACAACAGCAATAGCAGATGTTATTACGGTTTAGTCGCCGGTGCCGCGGCTGGAGTAGAGAGACGAACGAAAGCGACCTCCACACCATCATGGAGCTCGCAGAAATTGGCCATGTTTGGACTCAGCTTGAACTGAAGCGACATGGCTATAGCCCTCATCGAATCCTGCGGGTATATACTCCATAGCGAGCCGTTAACGGTGGCACCGGTCGCAATAAGCCTGTTGGCCGAAAAGGCAACGGTAAATGGTATACACTTGCTATATGAAACAACTGTGATACACAGCTGTCGCCACTGTCAATGGTGTTAGTCGTTGATTATGTCAGTAGCTATGCGGCCTCTGCGAGGCGCGTCCCGTTTTAGGACTCCGACAATGACCTTGTGAAAATATAAGAGTAACTGACTGGACGAGCAGGACGTTGTCCATGGGGAGATCGACCTTAAACGGAGGCTTCCTAGCATAGAAAAGACCCCACATTTTTGCGATGTGGTAGTGATTTTGATGAATTTGAGAGGAAAAAAATGGCACCGGAAAATAGCGCCTGGTGTTGGTTAAAGGCGAAAATCAGAGGCTTCACTTTGTGCTTGCGTGTCACAATGTATTTTTGAAGCATATCTTTGATTTGATGAGAAATGTCACAAACAGATCAGGATGAAAAATGGAATTGCATAAAGGCAGTCGGGGAGCGCAGCCTGCACAAGTGTTTATTGGCTCCAGATCTACGTTAGCCCTTGTGACTAAGTAATGAACGTGTATGTGAGGATTTCGCCTTTGACCTAATAATGTACGTTAAATAAAGCAATTATTTTCATGAAGTAGTTTTACTATTAGTTAAATCGCATTAATTAAATCGCTCGCGAATGATCATAATTGGTACCCAAAAAAATGTATACTTGGACGTATTCGCGATTTTGCTTCCAGTCAATTATCCAATAAAAGTGCTTTTCGTTTCCCATTTGTTCACAGGTATATAGACATACAAAATTGATTTTTAAAGCCGATTTTGCGTAGTATTAAGCGAATGGAAAACTGGCAAAACAACAATCAAGTGGCGTCAATGTCTGCGGTGACGAGAAGGCATCGGCTTCTCTTTAATAAAACCAGTCTACATGACATGTGCTATTATTGTTACGTCAGTTTATAGCCATAACCCAGTTTAACTAGAATAGACCAAGAAAGCTATTGAGTAGCATTCCCTATTGTAAACGGTGTCGGTCCAATGATAACCTATCGCTACGGGAAGCAGTTGACCACCGGTCAGAGGTCGAGGTCGTTTTTTTAGTAGCATAGAAGCACATCCGCAAATTCATCGAGCAATATAGGACCATATAGCAGTTGCGACAGGTTCGAGATAACACAAGGATCACGACTGATATTAGCAGTACAACTGCCTGCACCTGTACATAACTAAACGGTAACGATATAAAATTTGTAAAGAAACGGACACTACTGGCAGTGAAAAAGGAGGTCTGAGTAGGACCTACTGAGTCTAAGCTCGCTAGGTAACAGGAAATGCAGTAATCAAACACATCCAGTTTGCCATACACGTATCATATGACAGAACCTGAAGGCGACCGAATATTGAGATTTTATCGCATATGGACGTTTTTGACGCAGGCATCGCCATATTCATATATTCTCCTATATACAAACGTAATTTAGCAATCAACTGTGTCTTCTTCTTGCGGCTAAGTCAAAGGCTAGTGCATTACGATCAGACTTCACTGCTAATTTAGTACGCGTCTTAGATGCTGTCAGTCTCATACGCTGCAAGCCGTACCTTAGAGCCCCGGTTCCAAACTGACTTGGGTATCACTTAGCCTTTAAACGGCAGCTTTAAAAATGCAATGTATAATAAAAATTTCCACAATTAAGGAATTGTATGACACTACCTACGATGTATATACTATTTGTGCACCGTTGACGCTTTACAGTCTCTATCTGACAATTGGTATAGTACGATAAAATGCTTTACATTGAAGACGGCTTTCCTCACAGCGTATAATCACCATTTTGAGACTAAAGCAGAAGGCTTCCACCCTGACTCCTAGTGCCCAGATCTTTTCACGATACTGACAGGACAGAGCGGCCCGATCATGAATTCGTCGCTAGATTAGAAACGGTTCTTGTTTGTAAGACAGAAAAAGCACAGGCCCGCTTCACCTCGAACATTCAGATACGGCTGCTTAATGGAAGCGCCTATTCTCCACTGACTTACTACTACTACTAGGACACATTACAGCTTTCATTTTTGATTCTGTGGTGTAATTGTCAGAAGCTCTACCTTTTGATAGTAATTCCCGTGAGTTGCTTAGCATTGAATTTAGATCGATATACCTATGTAACTCACAACCATACTGTGCGTTCATTTGAACTATTCATTATGCCGATAGTTTAGTTTTTGCACTAAGTTTATTTCGTTAGAATTCAGATTTCTCATAATAGATCATTTTGAATATGCTCATATTGTTCCGTACACAGATATGTACAATTACGTGTAAGCATGTAGAATTTCTTCGCATAGATACCACAATGGGATCGGCGTTAATCCGTTCGAAACGTTGAACTTCGATTAATTTGGTTTTCCTTCATCCTTTTTGGAGGAACAGTTATCTTAAATAAGCCAAATCATGTATGATGTACGATGCATCATTGCATTTCTAGGAAGTGGTTATTTGTAAGTAGATCTAGTTAGACATAGGCGTCTACCGTAGGAGCCTCAAGAAAACTACTGCAATCGAAAACAAATACGATAATGAAGCCTCTTATCCCAAACACAAGTCGAATATATCCAAATAGTCATAGACGTGGCCATTCGATATCCCTGAGAAAATCAGCTTGATCCCATGGCCATTTCTCGTGTACGAAAGCACCCTCTGTACTTTTATCATTTGGTGGCGGCACAAATTGAATTGTTGCTCTGAAGACGACATGGACCAGGTGTTTACTATGATTAAATCATCACTCACCTTTCGATAAAGATAGCCAACCTAACGAAGCATCTAAGTTATGGCTTCTTTGCTTCGGTATTAGATAAGGGTAATTTATCATACGTCTATAATACTGTATTAAAGACTTGTTCACTATATTGATATACGTCTTGATATGCACTAAATGTTTCCGTAACTAGCAACAAAAACATACGTTTTATTAGTACTAACGGATACGTCAACACAGTCATATTGGATAAACAATGCGGAACATGTAACGTTATCCATATGACCAGAAGATCACTTACGAATACAAGTAATGAATGTGTCTTTACGTATCCAGAACTCCGAAATTGAAACTCCGAAACGACGCCTAGCTACCTCCTAAACCCATCAGCTGCGATTATTATGTCCATTTGTATAACTAACCTTGCTTAGCTATATGGTACCGATACTGTGGCCGGCTCAGTTAACAAATGCTGCGACTTCTTCTATATCCGTTTTATATATTATTAATAGCGTACTAACGATCAATCCTTTTTCGCTTCAGATCGCTGCTTCTATCTGCAAGTATTAGACTGATGCGATGCACATCACGTTAATAACAGTAAGAGCGCCTTTCTTCTAATGCCGCCCAGTACAAGCTCCCAACGTCAAAGCGCACATTAAAGAGTTGATGTTCTATTGGCCATTTTATCTGATATAATCACAAGCTAATAGGTTACTCCTGATGACAAATGAGTCATGAACGCCACAGCTTATCCCTGTCGCCGAGCGGAAGAACTTCAACAGATGAAGTGGTTCAAATCACTAGCAGAACTTTGAGAAACCAATGGTACCCCATATAATCCAGCTCGAAACCCCGCCTCTTAACAAGCACTTGCACAACTCAGAGTTCTTGTCACGGAAAAGCTTTTCCTGCATGCGAAGTTCACCTCGATCTATTCTATGCAAGGAAAACCCATCTTGGAACCTTACGAACGTGCGTCGTCAAATGCATTAAACCACGCACAGCTGTGGAACAACCACGTTCGAGCGCTTAGCATGCACTAGCCAATGTTACACCATCTGTGCCGGTACCACCCGTGGCGGCACGTCAACACGCTACGTTCCCGCCCCCGATCCGGTTGTTTCTTTGTTAATGTTGTTATTATTGCACAGCGGCAAAGACTACACCCTCCTTGCTTCGCCAGTAATCGTTCATTCACTAGCACGCGACTCATTCCACTCTGACCGAACGTTTGGTTCTGAGCGTCCTTCTCTCCAGATTATTTCGTTGCGAATCATATCGTGTTACTTTGATTACAGTACACCCCCCGAGACGGTGCGGCGCCCTGGTGTTTCAAGTCTTCGTTCGAATTGGATTCCTCGTCGTCCAACCAAAGCAAAAGGAGGAGGGCACTCTGGCCGAAGTTTCGCTGAGACGACGCATCATGAGCAATAACAGCGACGGGAACGAATGCAACGACTAAGGAACATGTCTGTACTTCCTTTCGACTGACTTCGGATAGATGAACAAACGTGATCAGTTGTTGCCGAGTTTACCTTTCCCGTTAGCCATGCGTGCGTCTGCCTCTTCTATGGGTAGACAAGAGCAGGCAGGCGCCCAGCTGCTGTTGAGACGACCGTTCCCTTTCCACAGAGACATAACATCAGTCTGGCGGGCAATTTGAAATGAGGAGGCAGTGGCGCGCAGTCCTTCAGTCCAGATTTACGGAAGCTACTGAAACAAAGTCTATACGAATCATTCCTTAGTCACCAGGAAGGATCCCCCGGAATCTTTGCGATTCGAGTGGTTGTTGCTACTCAATCTATATGATAGCGAAGTTTAACAGTTAGTTTATGGAAAAATTGTCGTATTTTTTTGACATGAACGTTGATGATGTATTCATAACAGTTGACTTTGCCTGTCTTCTGCGTTATTGCAGGCGACATTTGGTCGGGTTGACGATACTATAGGGACAGCGCAAATATAAATGCAACCATGGGCATGGGTTTGATGAAGGTCGATTGCTTTTATCAGGTCTTAGAAGAACTAAAAGTTGATGTCGAATCGGAACACGATCAGCTTATGGAAAGAAATCTGTCAGCTGAATTATGCATGAGATGCTATCATTATTGTGGGCCGCATCTGGTCAATTGAGAAACATTTATAAAGGGGACAAGCAAAGGATGCGCCATTTTGATGATTCCGACTAAAAAATCCAACGGTGGCATTTGACGCAAAAAGTTAAAAGAACAGTTGGAAACAGCAAGTAATGGAAACTAAATAAACAATAACGATTATATTATAAACTCACTAAAATACGTATTTTAGCATTGTTCTAATTGATTTTTACATTTAAGTGTGACATCTGGCATTTGAAACGATTCGATTCCAGCACGAGATAATGCGAATTTTTCGTTTTTATTACTAACTCAGGCCTACTGAATAAGTTCAAAGATGACCGATAGCCAGGCCAGCCGTGAGTGACGTCATGGCTTTTTATATTTAAGGATTAGCACTGTCCTATTCACATTGAAGGTGCATTGAAATACATGTATTACTTTAACCACGCTACGGACAAACAGAAATAAGTTAATTTCCGAGCGACCGTTATATTTGAACATCGACCATAAAGGCAATGAGTTAGATGTTTAGAGTACGAGCTCCGCTAATTAATTATGTAATTCGTCAAAGCCTAGCGTTGAGAACCGAACGAGCTTCGTGGCCTTTTTCGATTTATTTAATGAATTTGTATCCAATTTTTTATTTCTTTCAATACTTCTAGATTTATTATCTTGAATGTAACAGAATGTATCTAGCTATCTTATCCGATCATACTTATGATTGTTATCAAGACATAGTAAGTTATCTACATACGATTATTTTTGTTAGTACGCTTCTAACCATTATCCATTATTGCCGACGTCATAACCAGCATCCTGTGTTTGATCATGAAGATACGATATGCTGTTGTTTCGCGCAGATATTGAAGGTTTTGCAGATTGCAGATCTTCAACGTTTAATGAGGTGTTAGAGCTGACAGATACGCAAGGCCGTTTTGATAATCTAAGTGGCACTTGGTGTGATCGTCATATAACGTCACTCGATCGCAGAATCCACCCGCAGCTTTTACGGTTCCCCGAAAGTGACTGTCGTTACCACTTTGTTCCCTCGATGTTCGCTATAAAAGATCTGCCAGCTGTTGTTAAAACGAAAATATTTTATAGAGTTGACTATTTCTAGGCTTTTTCAGTCTCCTCTTCTGAACTTCACGGCGCCGCTCTTCGTCTAAAGGCAAAAGCGAAGTCGTTTATCATAGTTGTGCAGAATAACCGGTGTCTGTTGCAGGTGCAGCATAATGGAATTGTCTTCTTTATGAAGCGAAATTGCTGCTTGATGTGTAAGGATAGGTTATCGATGAGGAGTGAGAATAGCAAATGGTTTCGATTGCCTGTTTGGGCAAATCGTATTCCCTGTACGACGCTGACCATTTCCGTTACCCCATTGTCAAATATAGTACTATTTTGATAAAGGACAACTTTTAACAACTTGACAGCATTAAATGGCTGATGACGTCTAATCATTTAGAGGCGCTCATCTGACTCAAACTGGAAATCATGAATAGAACATTTTTGTGAACAGTCGATCTTGCGAATTCTGGTACAGGTCTACTGTTGGCGAGGCCTGATGGTCTTCTTCTCCACATCGTTGTTGAGAGTAACGTTCGACAGCTCGCACGCAAAAATCACTGAGGCTATGCTGCAGTGTTTGCGCTTGCACCGGGCCAATTCTGCCTAGGCGGATAGCGGCCGATAGCGAATTTCGCAACGTGGAAAACGCAAACGCGTCCAGTGTCTCTGATAGTTGTGCACCCAGAAGCGCACATACAGCTCCAAACACAACGGCTAAATGTCCTTCGAATCGCGCCAGCCGCCTCTGGTTAGGACCTTCCACGAAGTTCACACCACTGGGCGGGGTAAAACTAGCTGCTTTCTCATCAGAATCATGATCACTCAGCCGCACGGCGCTGTTAACACGTAGCATTTCTAGACGGTGTAACGGAGCCGTACTGGGAAACACCTCAATTGCAAGCGATAGAAGTGTTCGGCCTTGTTGAAGGGAGGCGCGTCGGGCTACATGGTTGCTTAGGCTGACGGACAACAGTCGGTCCAGCTTTGTCAACCGGCGGATGCACTCAGGTATGTCGCCATCAACGTCAGTTGAGTTCGCCTGAAGGTTGAAGGCCGGAGCTGTTGAATCAGGTTCGGCTTGTGGCGAGGTCAGCGCAGCATATGCAGCAGCGACGTATGGCACTTGTTGTGAACAAGTTGCTATTATGCAGATCTTGAGGAATCGTTGCAGGTGATCGATGGTCGGAATCGCGCCACGACGCCAGGCGGCCTCGATACCGCCGCTGTGGGTGAAACCGCTGATAGGCAAAGCGCTGTCGCATATCTGTAAGGACGAGATTTCGTAGGGATAGGAACAATTAGAACTGTCTCAATTATGGATGATACATTATTTTCCAGGAAGCTCATATATAAAGTAGTAGTAAGGAATGTTAGCAACCGAGTTTCAACTTATGACTTCCATGTGATACTAATAATACAAAGCCTTTCTTTATTCAATGATGCGATTCTTTCATGATTTCTTTTTGGCAGTAGTCAAACTAGCTCTTTTCAACAACTCTATATATTTACGTAAAACTTATCTCATTCTTAGAAGTAAATAAGATAATTACTTGCAGTTACTTGCCTATTAATGGCAGAGCGCTGCATATGGCAGACCAGTGTTTATTCGTTTCTGAGGGACTACAGAAACTCATTAACACTTATAATTTTCAATTGAAAGTGTATCTGCAATACGAATATATGGCAGTGGTTTATAAAGTAGTTACTATTTACCTGTAGCAAATTTAGGAATACGAGTCTCGGTTCTCGAACAATCGTTGCTGACGCTGGGCTGTCTAGTGTTGCAGCCGATACTACCGTCGTCTGTGGAACTTGCTTCATTTCGCATAAAACAATCCGTCTGGTCTGCAGTTCGGAATGAGTTTTTGATAATTTCAAGTTGGACTTTATTTGCATAAGCGCTCTATTCAAATCTTTGTATCCCGGTTAAGAAGAAGAAGTAAACTAGGTAGCACTTATCAATACTGAACGTTTTATCTGTGGAAAACACAGATGAATTTGAAGATACAATTGATGAGATCCCTGTGGGTAGAGCCAGCTTCATTGTCCTTAAAGCCACATGCACTTCGTCGATTATTTATGTACGGCTCGGATACCCCCTCGACAACCGTAACTGAATGATTGAAACCGCGGAGAATCACAACGGTGTCATTTTTCGATTACTTTGTTGTGGTGTATTTCTAGGCAGACAGATAAATGTACAGTTGCTCTGGCGATATATTTATTATTTTGGTTTTGCCTTCGGAGTTACTAAATTTGTATGAAAACCAAACTCTTTCAGTGATAATTATGCCGTAGTAGTCATGTCCTTGGAGGGGGGGCAAAAGCAGTTTTTCATGGTACAAGCATACTGGCGTACGGTAGAAACTCCGCCTTTACTACGGTGCTATTTACGAAATCTATGGCATCATATTTTAGTACCTAAAAACGGCTCGGGATAGTCCGCATTTTCGAGGGGAGTTTCGCTGTAGCTTCATCATCTAATGTCTATACATAGCTTAACAGCAGAATACTTTGTTTGAAGGAGAGCGTTCATAAGAAAAAAAGTAGGTGATATCAAAAATCGCTTTATATTGTAACCATCTGTTTGCTAATTTATTGTTGGCTTATAGAGCCATTATTTGTCTCACCGCTGGGAAGAACGGTCGAATTTGAGCAAATATTTAAACTACATGTTTTTAAAGGAAGACTTAAGGGCTGTCCATTCGGCAAACCTGCCACCCAAAATCCCCGCGGGATACCATTCGCATTCTATTTGTTTCAGCCAATGATTTCTTGATGTATCTAACCGCTCTCTGTATGCCTTAATGTAGCAACAGGCCACTATATTTCTTTTCGTAGCAGCTATGTCTTGGGAAAATGAGCGCGTAGAGGCAACTTTTACAGCGGTCGACAACAACGTCTTCAAACTGGTAGGGTTATTCGCAAGCCAAATTTATTATAGAGTAGTTACAGGATCTAGTGGTCTACATGCTGTCCTGGCAATAGCCACTGGATAAAATGGATGCGGTAATTAATAACGATAAAAGATTCCGGTCCTTAAAAATCATAGTCAGGGCTGGTAAGTTGTTAACGCATTTTTACTCTCGTTTTATAAACATCACGAATGGTTATTGAAGAGGGTTTTGCTTGCGTGGTACATAGTAAAAAACGGCAGAGCAGTTTGCCGGCAAGGCAAAATATCCACACGCAGTTACCGTATCCATATGCTTACCTTTGTTGATGTGGCTTTAAACTATAAATAGTTAATAGATAAAATGATTAAGCTTCATAAAAACCACTCAAAGGGAAAGTAATAATATGTATGAAACTGATTTTAAATATTTGCAGTTCGGTAGGTTTCTCACGTACCGCTGATCGCCGTCTTCAAAAAAGCGTTCAAGGAGCTTATTATGGTAAATCAATCATCTTCTAGATGAAGTTCGACCACCCAATCAATCGTAGTCGTCTCGGTAATTTTTGGATACTTCAGAATTGCAAAAAATAAATTTAGAGAACATAGTGTATCAAACCGAGGTGATTTACCTTCGTAACGCGATGACTAACCGTGCGTGACTCGTTGAGAAAAGTTGATAATATCAACTTGAATTTTTCAAAGCTTTTTTTTTCTGCTTTATTACACTATAAGCAATACCTTGAATAGGTACTAATTGAACCCACCGCCTATATCTTCTGACTATTTGACCTACGTTTATCTGACGTATACCTTGACATAGTTCCGTTATACATGTTGTCTCTGACACCCATCTCTGCGAGTGATCTTCCTGTACCAATGGCGTTCAAGAGCTTAGAACCGAGCACTTCTAAATAATAAGATGACGTAGCCGTTTTACACACAGAGGAATTAGGCGCATTTGCTGACCTTCCAGGTAATTACATGAAAAAATCAGCGATTGATAACGCAGGGTCGAGCATACTTGCTACGCTTGTCTGGATACCATGCTTTGCCTAAAGCGTTTCACCTATTAACTGTTACAAGTAGGTCACTGTGGATATTCCAGCACCACACTAAATCTCTCGATTTCATGGGGCAACTAACGAAGTTTGAATGTTTAAACTCACCATAGACGATCGGCTACATGTTTTTCATCTGCTATCCTTGTAGAAGAGTCCTTAGTTGCTAATGATTCGTCGTACTAGTTGGACAATATCGTGAGCGCACAGTTTCATCTCGAAAAAGGACTGCCTTAAATTATCAGGCTGCCTCAGTCGGCGGCAAGTCTCTTTCGCCATGGTCGTGGGTCACGGGGCAAAGGTCCTCCGCACTCGCCAGCGGTGACCGAACCAGTAGTAGCCACCAGAGGAGACGAAGAGTCGAATTTTTGTGAATGCAGTAGGGAACGATCTCGGACAAAATCCAACGTTGTCCTAAATGCATAGATAACGACGTCCGCGATAGCAACTTTTACAGGTCAGATGAGCGCTAATCAATGATATATCGTAATAATGTATTGCACGCATGCGAGAGACGTTGACGGAGATACGACAGCAATTTATAAAGGGTTCACAGGGGCAGTCGTGTCAGTGGGCATTTCCGGGTTTTGCGCTCTATGCATCGGCTGGAGTCTTCGACTCGTAACATAGAAATGCTCTTTTTCGGTCCATAACATTGATTCGTTTATTAAGCAGTTATGACAGAAGGCGTTCATACACACTGCACAAACCTGCAAGTGATTCACGGGATGATGTTACGCGCACGTATCATACGAGCCATTTAAGAACGTATAGAAATCTGAGAGTCGTTTTCGTGGCGCAAAACTAGCGTATTCACCTACAAGGTTTAGAGCTGCATGAAGGGGTCCAGGTTTGAAACCGGACATTGACTGACGTTTCTTTTTGCGCTAAGAGGACTAGACGCTTTCATTGCGTAACACAGGAAGATTAGGCTAGGCTGAATACAGCTGAAGGATGGTTCATTTATTGCTGGCAGAACGGCAGGCCGTCCTATTTTTTATGAGATTGTGTCCGAAGTAATAGTTAGCTAACCCAGAACTGATTCGCGCATAAATACAGTAAGAGTGCCCCTAGCTGTAAGGGACGAGGTTTAAGTTGCACTCAACTTACGTTGCGCATGTGAAAGTTCCACTTATAGGAAAACGGGCGCAGTTAAACGTGCCAGCTCTAAAACAAATAATTAGCGTAAGGTCGCCTCGTCATTGAACAAGGCTCCAATTTTCGACGACAAAAGAAACGAAATAGAATTAGCATAAGATATCTATTAGTATTTAGTATAAGTATTATTATCTTTAATCATAACAACGAATTGAGGCATAACTGCAACTATTTTTATTTGTAGATGAAAATAAAGCAGACAGGGCACGCGATGCGACGTGATGCGGGCTTATACAGCTCATTGCAAAGGGCTACCTAGCATTTGATTGCAGAGAATGGAATGATCTACCGATTAAGTGCGAATGCTGGTCATAAATCGAGAGAACAGACCAAAAATTATTTAGCGCTAATGCTAATTTGTCTGTAGTTATTATGTGTTTTATGTCTAGGCCCATGTAGGACCTTGTATCTATCATCGTTCCGTGTAGGAAATCGCTCTTCCAGCGTAAGGTCGAGAATTTTAGGTGAGCTACACCCATGAGACGTCTAGAAAATAACAAAACACTCATTACGTCACTTCAAGTTAGCAGGTTTTCGTTTTTAGAGAAGTACCTAAATTGTACCTAGCTCAATGTTTATGACACGGTAGATCTGAGTCGTATCCAGAAAACAAGTTTAAGATTGGCTCGAGACGTAGAACAACAAGTGGTATACCTGTAATAGGTCGAAATTTTGGAAATAGATTTGCCGGGCAAATCTGTACCGGATGTTGTATACATATATCTTTGTTTAGACTAGTTCTACTGCGGACTGGGTGGGGTCAGCCGTACCAGAAAAATGCTTGCGTAACATAGTATCAACCAAGTAAAAGTTGAAACATAAATCATTAGATTAGCTGTTACCGTTGCATTGTATTGATGGTGTCAATCTTTTTTTTTTAATTTTTTTAATTAAAGTTATCGTGCGCTTCGAATCGGTTTTTTAATAATGTAATCTACGTTAAAGTGGGTAATAAGTCAGACACTTGCATTTAGCGGGTTCAAGTTCTAAAGCTTTAAATAATCACAGGACGTTTCGGGTCGACGAATTGATCGTCTGAAATAGCGAACGGTGTCACCGTGAACTGATTTGTAGTTAAAAACAGGTTGCCGTTTAGAAGCAGCACTATAAGTGAAGACAGTAGATTTCAAACGAGCTAGATAAAACCACTAATTCCATCCGATCCAGCTCAATGGTACTAGATGGGACAGAAAAATCAGAGAAATATTAATTTGAAAGCCAAGATAATTTTAGAATAAAAAAAAAACTAAACACATCGTAACTCTCCAACGATAGACCATAGTGTAATATTTAAATATAACGTAATATTTGAATTCTAAGGAGAAAAAGTGAGCCGCGCACGCGTACAGAAACGTTCTATTTCAATGTATCGACACGAGCCTAAATATTAAAACTATTTACGTCGATATTGAACACGACTCCGTTGTGTCACCTATCGATTATACAGGCCACGAATAATGAAAGTATTGTGCATTTGCTTAGAACGAATAGCTAATGAAGACAATGGCCAACTGCGTCCTTGAGCACATACGGGTATTGGCCAGATGCGTAGATTCAGCTACCCAGGTTGGCGAAAACCGGTCCAGGTTCGGCGACCTGTTCAGTGTCTACGACTATTCAGTTGGTGGTTAACCGATGTTCAAGAGCGATACATCCTGTATTGAATCTATGGAATCATTCGATATCAAAAACGTTGCTGCACTCGTAGGTTCTTTAAAGGTTAGTGAGCTTCTTCCATGGAGAAGATGACGCAACTTTACACATGGTTGGTCTGGAAGTTGTTTCACATTAAATTTCACACGCGAACACAAGTAAGGGCTTATGCGGTCACGGTAACAAGCATAGGAGAGACAGGCTTTTTTTTGCGATTCCTAACCTTTTCCCTGTCTAGACAGCTGTCATAATAGCTTCGCAGGTTTGGTAACTACCATTGATTGAAACCATGTACGTCACCAAGAGTTACGTACAGCTGCAACACATTGTAAATAAAAAAGTCAGTAACAATGACTTAAGCTGTTCAGATATCATAAATCATGTGTTCAGAGTGATCATACTTTTTTTTTGTACTATATTACGCTCTTTATGATTAGGCCTTTTTGGCCTTGGCAGGTGTAACTTTATAGTGTAATTTTCACTCGCGAAGGATATTTACCTTAGAAAGGACAGCAAGAGTTTCGTTCGTGGCATGACTAATTGCAGCGCCGAATAGTGCCTATGCTGAATATGTTGAATGACTAGATAGAATATACGAACTTGGCTTCGAAACGTACTCTACGTTCAAATGATAAAATTGTTAATAAAGGTATTACTTAAGTCAGGACAGAATTGACTTGACAGGAATGAGAAAATTTAGCGTGTGTAGGAACTGTTGAAACTTGTAAAACAAAGAAGCTAAGTGATATATATTTTTTTTTAAATTAAATTGTAGGGAACAGGGGACTAGTAAACTTGACTAGTTACGTCACTGCGTTAATTGATTGTAAAGTCCTATAGTTTTTAGTCACTTGCGATGAAACCCTTCAATGTAATACTTTAGGCTTTGCCATGAAGTGCACTACCGTGCTGCTATAAGGAAAAGGTCGTTGTACGCTTTTTCTTTTACTACAGTTCTATTATTTTCAGTATAGAAGTTTTCTTAAGTTACTGGATAAAATCATCCATTGCAGTTGTAATATACTCCTTGTTTAATTCTTATTGTTACTGATTCATTCGGATTGCTCAGGACCTTATTAGTTAACCATGAACCAATTGCACTGAACTCAGGAACAAACTTGAACGGGCTACTGTGCAAAAACGTGGTAACTAGGCAGAAGTTAATAAGTGGTTAATACCGTTTGGTCTCTAATAAATGGGTTAGCATAGATCCAGATTTTTCAGCATCGATTCGGTCACTCGAGTGAAGCTCTGTCAGCAAAAATAATTGCAGCCTATGAAAGCCATTTATAGGCAAGTAAATTGGATTTTCTTGTTCTAGAATATACAATAATTCCTTAATGATTTCATATTAGTGCGGTTAAATGAACAGTTCTGGTCTCAACGCGATCTAGTCTAGCGAAGGACCACATAAATAGGCCTCTCGTTGGCCGGCTAGCAAATTCCTTTTCGTCCTGCCGAGATATTTTTTATTTCGAAGTTAATCGGCAAACGCAGAGTCAGTTGATTTACAATTATATACGTGCTAGATTTTCAAATTTCGCGCGAACGGCATGGATTCGTTCGTGAAAATGAATACGTAAATAACCGTTGACTTGTTATGTTAATGTGTTCCCGTAATATAGCATCAGGCAAAGCGAGCAAAATGCAAATCCAGCAAAAAAAAAGAAAAAAGGAAAATAAGCACATAAAAAATAATACTAATACAACTGTGATCAATAGGTTTCTGGTTAAAATGATTCTTATTGCCTATGGTCCTTTCAATGGCTTCGTAATTTCAATACAGTTTAACACGATTTAGCATACTTGCCTGCAGCATTAAGCATGCTGAGATATATGTCTTTCCATATCACCACGGTGTTCATTAATGTCTCACAGGGCAAGGTATTTATATAGTGTCACGGCTATTTCGGTTATTGTTGTGTTGGGTCGCGGTAGGGAACAGTTGCAGCCCAGAAAAATCGCTACGCCCTCGCCAGCAGTCAGTTACAGACAAATCGCGGCGGAGTAATAAGGAAGGTGCGTTACCTCTTTGTTCATGGCGAACCATTTATTGTCAAGGGAAACGCGCTCACGAATGTTTTCATCTGTCGTCTACCGTTCTGAACTGCGTTGTTCTGTAGTGACGTGAATTGATATCCGAGAGAACGAAAATTGCTAGTTAGTCGGACAAGCGGTCTTTTGACTATTGACAGACTTTGTCGAGCTATTGTTATTGATTAGAAAAGAAAATATATTCAGCTAGATAAGTAATAACAAAACTAGCGGTTCCCAATTGTTGTGGCCGTCGTTCAACTTAGATAGAAAGTTTAGCGGGTAGATACTGTGCCTAGCAGAGTGTGTGGAAACAACGCTGTGGCCAAAATCGCTTGAAGATCAGTTAGCGTTACGTTCTGTT